TAAACTGGCTAAAGGTAACAGTAATCAGAAACAGTATTATAATAGCTACTGTAACGGTACTATACGATACTGCCTATCTCGAACGCGAGAAAGCCAAATCGATTCCTGCTAGTAAACTTATAGTACAGATCTACCCTTACCAACGGCATCAGAAGGTAGCAGAACAAAACGATTGGCTTTTTTTAAGCGGTTAAGCTGTATCATCCGTTCTTGCCTGTAGATACTAAATATGTCTAAACGGGAATGATTATACATAATCCGGCCAATATACTGGGCTTCTCAGGTCGCGTGAACGCTACAGACGAAGCTCCGGGGTTTGGTTCAAAAGAAAATCATGAATCTGCCTTGGCAAAGGATTGATACAGATGGCCAGGCATGTTCAATCTAGCGTTCAGAATAACCGGGCGGGCGACGGGAATTTCTGACGGTTGCATCTTGCCCGGACAATGGCCAAGGCCGTGTTAGTGAATGGTGGCCGGACATATTTACTTACGTATCTATACGATATTCTCAATTTTATCTATAGCTTTCTATATATTGTGTTTAATTATGTTCTACTTGAGAGTGGCGATGGTCCTAGCAGAATAAAATTAAAGAAAGAGATCAGTCTAAAATAGATACAGTTAAGATAGTCCAAAACAGAGAATAGCTTAATCTAAACTAACCTAGATTATAAAGATGCCCGGGTAATATTTCCTGCCGGTCTCGATATCCAACATCTATCTTATCAATAACTGGATCGGAATTCTTCAGCTTTGAGCCTTATCATAATTCAAGTCATGATTATATCGGTCGAATTATTCAAAGGAAAAGAAAAGTTATGGTATGTTTCCTTTTTTTTAACTGTATTTCGACGAGATAACCGGTCATTGCAGCGATCATGTAGAGCTGGCCTAGTTTTATGCGGTTATGCTCGGGCATTTTTTTTGCAGTTTTGGTCGAAAGTGTTACCGACGGGTTTCATTTTGTCACGGACTGTGACCTGCCTCCGAGGACCTTCCTCGCGATACCCTATAACCTAACTCCCCGATAGGGACTAGCGTCAGAGCTGTCACACATATCGCAGCCAGCTCCTGAATAGCTTCATAGCTTAGCTTAGTTTCCTCGTCAAATGCATACCCTACATTCTCACGATTCCCTATCGTCAGTGTAGCCGTTCGTTACACATTTTACTATTATAAACTGATTGATGTAATTGTAACTGTCCTGTTAGTATACAATCGATTTGCCAATTTTTTTTGATATCACGAGTGGACGCGACTTGCCCAGGCATCATTGTATTCCAAACAATAACGTATTTTATAAGTGAAATAGCTATACAAGCGGAATAGCTACCCGCATCCAATTTCTGCCCATGGGCCAAATACTAGAGTCTTTATCAACCAAATAACTGCATTTCTATATAAAGACTACTTAGGAACTCGATTAGGACATTGTAATCGCCTATGTCCTAGAATATGACAATCGCTGCACCGCGGGGGCGCTCGTACGCGTGGCCTGACTGCAGGAAGTGCAGGATCTAGGGGAAGCGTATTTTGAGCTTCATCAACCTCATTTTCGCGCTGAAATCGTTCTAGGCCCTCCTGAATAGCTGACCCCTCTGTAATAGCTAGCTGTCTAGCAGAGCGCTTCCACTTTTGAAACTGCTTTTCATGAGAAGTGCGTAATTCATGTATTTCTTCGCGCGCAAGAATAAGCTCATTAAGGTGTAATTCATAACCTTTAATAAACTTATCTACACGTGTTTCTAGCGAAGATGAAGGGCTCTGCGTACGCGCTCTAAGCAGCTTTTTAACTGTAAATGCCTGCCTTTCTAGCTGCTTGAAGTTGTAGGGTATTTTTGGCGCTGAATTGGTTGATCGACTGCCTGGTAGTGTAGGGGTCTTTAGTTGAATATTCAGCTGACTGAACACCCTATCTGGATTGAATGGAACCCGAGTCTAACAAATAATCGTCTACGACATTTGCCCTTCGGGGCCACCATCCTTCAAGATACATCCCCTCGACCAACCGAAATCGCTCTGAACGGGCGAACCACGGCAGCAACCTGATGAGAGACACTGGCCCCAGACAAAAAAAAAAAAAACTGTACGCGGGCTCGACAACCCAGGGTGCCAGACCGTAGTATTCGCCTTCAGTAATTATGAAAGTTCGCCCGAGACATATAGCACAGAGATTCTCTGCCCGTAGGTGTGGATGTGAACTTCCCATTCTTTTCTGCCTCCCTTGTAGGATTCAGGTACTGTCGATAAAATGGTGACAGAATCCACTGGGGAGAACATTCTTTGTCTCTGGAAGAGGATCCACTGAGAAGCAAATCACGATATGCATATTGATTCAGTTCGCTCTTCGAGCAGTCGGCGTTCGGACGAACGTGCCCATAATTTGGGTTTCTGTTCGTTGGGGATTAAAGCCCACGAATGGGAGCCGATACGGCGGAGATGGGACAAGCTTGGTGGCTTTCAGTATGGAATGTCATAGGGGTGTTCTTCTGCAGAAACGATGCTGATGCTCGCAATTTGAGGTAGACAAACAGTGTCAGGAATCTCGGTCCAAAAGGAGGAAAAAGTTTTGCATCAAACAGGAAGGTGTTGATCCGCTCCGCTAGGCCGTTCTGATCTTTCCAGTACGGAGCGGATGTGCCAAACTCCATGCCCTGGGACTCGTGGTAAGCGCCAATGGCCAAATATTTTCTTCCATTGTCGCAGAGAAAACGCTTAATCTAGGTCCTATATTACAGTGTCGGCGCACAGTACAGAGATGAGATCAAGCGTCAACTACCATGTTTTGATGCCGTTGCTCCAGATCTCGGCTCAGGGTGACCCTTCCCGGTATCCTTCCAGATCCTCACCATGGTCTTGCCCGTGGGCGCCAATATCTGTGGAAGCAACATAACCCCTTAACGCTTGGGAAGACGGCCCGCTCATCCTCCATAGAGGAATCAGAGTGATATCTAGGGTCGTTCATAACCTTCCTGCGATACCGTTTTCCTTCCACGATGAAAGAAGTGCCCTCATTCATGTCTAATTTGAACCATTGAGGATTCTCATAAGGTATATCGATATTGTGACGAACCGGATGTTGTAGACAATACCCCATCTTCGCGAGGATGTCGAGGATCTCTTTAAAAGGCTTCGATGCAAGTAATTTCGGTGGACCGAAAAGTGTTAAAGCCACCTCCTTAGATCGGGAGACAGTAGTCATCCCTGATACTTGGTAGGAGACTCTGCAGCCAAGCGATGTAATTGCTTCCACTCTTTCTGCAATCCAACGGGGGAGTATTTCGTATTTGCTCCCCTTGAGATTTCTCCAGTGGTCGCTGAATTTATCCTCGACGGAAACTCCAGATGATCGGTCTCTATTCACGAGTAGCTGAAGAATGAGAGTATTAGAGAGAAAGCCGTAAGAAAAGAGGAACCAAAATCGTTGACTTTGTACGCACAGAACCGAAGCAGATTTCCGACACCAATTTAAAATCTAGAGGTGCAAGTAATATGTGCTCCTCTGGGCCCATTTTGTGTGCTGTTGCTGGATTCTATCCGCGTAGGTCGCAAATGAATGGCACTTTTCAGATGGAGTTTCCTTGGGATTATTGCCCGGGGAATGGTGAGACCGGCCCTAATATATGCCAGATCTCCTGGTGCTCAGACTAATTTGGTGCTACTACGTTTATGAGGTCTCCTCAGCTTTGCATTGTCCAGTCAGATCGTGTGAACAGAAGGCGAATTCGCCAGCACGCAGCTTCCAGAATGCTGAGTTCCCAGGATCATGCCTCGAGGCTCGCAAGAACGCCGTGCCACTATATAGGTTTTCTTGTGCTCCCAGGAGCCCGTCCGAGGCTCTAGAGAACCATTCTTCATGTCCTGAGAAAAATGCTTGAGGTCCAAGGAGGCCAAAAGAGCCCGCGATCGGTCTGCTTGTCCACAAGAGCAACTAAGGCCAAACCAATGATTACTATGCTTAATACTTTCTTTTTTGCCCGCTGCTTGCCCTGCTCATTGTCTGCATAGTTCGCTCATAAGACTTGTCAAATTACATGCACACGTAACCTGCTAGATATACACATTTCCTTACTCTCGCAGTTACCGTTGTTGGAAGCACATTGAACAGAACCATCTTGTAACAACCTCAGAAATGAGGAACTGGCTCTTATTGCAGGTAATTTATTAGAACACTAGGTTGAAGAAGAAAAAAGAAGAAGACAACGATTTACTGCATAAAGCAGTAAACAAACCCACTGCGTAGAATAAACAATGCAAACACTACAAACACTGTAAATACCTTGGCGCAGATAACGCTGCATATTTAGCTTGTTATATTACTTTCCCTTTCTGATACGCGGTTACTTTCAACTGCTAGGTTTCAAAGATCTGCTATCATCCGGATAGTCAGGAAGGAACTCGTTATCTTCAGCAGCCTTTATCCAAAGGTCCAATCGAGAGGGGAGCCCTGGAAGATCAGGATATCGGTTATAAAAGTTACGAATTAAAGATGGTAAATTCTTGAAATTTTGTGCGGGATACCAAGTGTTATTATCGTTATAACCGATCTATTTTACTCGATATTGGAACTTCCTGTAGTGTAAGCGGTAGGCAAGGATCTACTCTATCTCCCACTCCTTTTGGTCGTTAACTTCGATTGGTTCCTGTAGGACCTGAATCTGTTCTGTCAATGGTTTGGTCTTGCTTGCGCGCCGGAGCTTCTTAGGTACAAATATCGGGTAAACTCTTATTGATTCCGGTAGATTAAGTAGATAGAGATAGCCTTTCTTTTTTAGGATTTCGAATGGTCTTAATGCTTGTTGACTTAACTTTCGGCTCGGGCGTTCTAGATGCCAGTCCTTCGTTGTTACTATAATGTTGGCCGTCTCTCTAGGCGTAATTGCTAGTAATATACTCTCAGGAATATCGAATGATGAAAGTCTGATTCTTTCAATCTAGCTGCAAACGGTGGTTTAAATACATGAAAAATTAATAAGCAATCTAGCCTGAAAAAGGCAACTAGAAGAGACATAACTTTTGAACACACTCCGACGAGTGTGTCACAGAGCTAAACTGGACGTGCATCCGCATCCTATCCACAGGCTTGGGGATAAACTGCCTCGCCTGGCCCTAGTTAGAATCCCATATATCAGGAGAAACTTTAAGCATGAACTCACATAATACAGCTCCGACTCAACTTCATACTGCCCATGTGGGTTGAGAATGGGTTCATTGCTTGCATCGCGCGCAACCTGACCCAGCCCACTCTTGCAGAAGTTGTACCTCCTCGCCGCAAAAACGAGCACAAGCTTGGAGACCACAAGCGCCAACTCCTGGCCGAGACAGTTTCGGGGGCCACGCTCAAAAGGCCGCCAGGCAGCAGGTGGCACCCGCGTGCCAACACCAGACGAGTCGACGGGATGGAGCCACCGTTCGGGCATGAAAACATCCTTCGTGGCTCCGTAGACTGCTTCTTCGCGGTGGATCATGCTATGGCAGCTATACAGTGATAGGCCGTCCAGGCGGAGGGCGCTGCCGTCTGGCATTTGTAAAAATGCGTCCGAATTAGATGGCACGGTTCGGGAAGTAGCACCGGGCGGATACATTCTTAGCGTCTCCTTGATTAGACTCGAGGTGTAGCGCATGCAGCTGAGTGTATCCGCTGGGCTGGAAAGAAGCTTCTCTTTGGCAATAGTGGGATCAGTGCCCGGGCCAAAAATGCTCTCGAGCTCATCCTGTACGGACTTCAGAGCGCGAGGGGTGATACTAAGCTGGTAGATCAGCCACCCTAGAAGATAGATGGTCGTGTCGAAACCGGCGAAAAGCAGGAATTTGAGTTGGTCGCAGACGAGGTCGAGAGTCTCTGTCGTTAGGTTTTCAACGTCGGCTAGAGCTAATGCGATAATATTGCGGGAATTTATGGGCGGAGAGCCCTTGGCTGGGACACGATTCATTCGGTCAGCAACTTTCCGAATGGTATCTTGCAGGAGACTGGTGAGTTTCTTCCCAACTTGGTTTCGGCGCCATTTGGCCCGTGGATCAGTCAACCAAGAAGGTACATTAGGATCAAAGCTATACGTCGAGTACAGCTCGCGGAAAACCGACGTGATCTCATGCTGTCGCGAAATTTCGGATGAATCGTTATTGTTTCCATTCATGACTATGGAACCTATGACAGGGTCCAGTGAGTCGAAGTCGCAGGGTTAAATATATATTTCCACATACCCATGATGCCTAAGGTAAGTTCCGCAAGAGGATCTTGCAGAGGAAAGTCGGCGCCACTTCTACAGTATCCATCAAGGCATTCAAGGAAGGGAGATATGTGTTCAAGGATACAAGGCATGAGTGAGATTAGATGGCCTTTGGAAAACGCCGGGTTGAGCCGCTGACGCATCATTTTCCACTCCTCGCCCTAATTGGGGGAATATCATATCAGTTCCCACTCGTGATTCGTCTATTATCCTGGGTTTTGCGACGGTGCAGATAGATTCATTCTCTATAGCATACGCGCAATGGCCCGTGCGTAGCTTTACTCACCTGTAGTGCCATCAGAGAGCGATGGCCAAGCAGAGCAGCATAGGACGAATCCATAGCTGTCTTAGGTAAACTGTAAGGGTACTTGTTTGATCTCCGTGATATCTGTTCTGCCACAATATGGCTAGTTATGACACACAGAGGCGCGGCTACTGGACGAAGATCCAGTACGAAAGCTGGTGGGTTACCAAGCCTTTCGGAAATTTGCCGGAAAATATAGTCTGTTGTTGTGTATAAGTTAACATACCAGATTAGTTGCCAGCTGGATATCAAGGACCTGCACATCAGGGCTGTTCACGATTTGCCTATTTGCCTATTTTGACGATACTATATCGGCAACTATACTATATAGTCAGTCC